CTTCAGCAAATGGTGTTGGGAAAAACGGACAGCTCCATGTAAATCACTGAAGAACACTCCCTCACACCATACACAAAAATAAAGTCAAAATGGCTTAGTCTTAAATATAAGACAAGATACTATAAACCTCTTAGAAGAAAACATAGGCAAAACATTATCTGACATAAAATCAGAAATGTTGTAGCCTACCCAAGCAACAGAAATAAAAAGCAAAAAAAAAAAAAAAAAAGCCTTCACAAAAGTAATTTATCAAACACACTAATAAAGTTAAAAGTTCAAGAATGCAAAGAAAAAAACTACTTCCTTTTGAAAAAAGTTATAAAAATAAATCTCTTCCCTACTTGAAAATGGAACAATTTTCTTTCCTATGTAAATTAGGGATAACAGGTAAGTATAAACCTGAGTTCCTCTCAGTACATGTAAAACTTTCATTACTTTGAGCACCTCACCTTATGAGCTGCAAAACTTGACTCATTTTTTTCTAGTGCTCTTTTTGCATACTCTAGGGCTTCATAGACCAAGAGCTTTTTCTCCTCTTCTGAGGTTCCGCTAAGTTGAGCTATATCACGTGATGCCCGTGCCAAACGCCACAGTAACTCTGCATCTTCACTAATTTGAAATAAAATATAAAATAACAACCATTTTAGCTCACATTTAAAAACTGTTGAAAGTCACATCACTAATGAATACATATGATCTTTCATGTCAGTGAGGATAAGGCAAGCAACATGGTATCAAAAGCCATTATTCTTCATGTTAAATTTATTATTTTCTATCATACAAAAACTTTACCTGCTAAAAGTTCCTACAAAATATCCATTATTCTTAAGTATTAACTTAACCCATAATATCTAAAATACTAAGTTCCTTAGAAAATATCTCATATTTGACTCTCTGAACACTTGCCCTACAAAATTCAACATATAACTTGAGGCTTGATTTCAGCGGCTACTATGCTTCAGACAATTAACTGGTTTAGACGGTACTATAAAATACATAAATTTATAGACAGGGTCATGCTCTATAAAACAGAGCTGCCATATCCCTAGTTCCAAATACAGTACCTAGCACAAAACAGGTATGTGGTAAATGACTGTTAATGAATGAATGATTAAATGTAATGTAAGCTCAAAGTAAATCCTACCTTTGAATGTCATCTATGCCATGATGCATGGAATAGTTAAAGCAAGGGCTTTGGACTCCTTGAAGAACTGACATTGAAATATGATTATATAAAATATGAAATGGCTAATAAATAAAATGGAAACCAAGATTTAGAGTTAGAAATATTTTTTAAAACTAACCTTACATTCCTTTTTATTAAATGTTTGTCTTTAAGCCCACTACCCTATATATTTCTTAACAAAAAATAGTATTCACATAAAACTGTGAAACTAAAAGTAGCCATAGTATATTTATAATGCAATGACTAGGAGTAACTATCTTATAGCTTACTTTTCAAGTAATTACCGAAATGACTATAAAATGCCAAAACAACCACTGCAAGTTACTGAGGGGAGAACGGAGAAGGAAAGTTGCATCCTACAGACATTTTAGGAAGTAAATTTGATGGGTCCTTGTGGGTAAAAACTGGTTTGGGGAATCTAAAAAAGGAAGTTGAAAAAAAAAGAAAGGACAATATTTTAATTTAGGGGATGAGGTAGAGTAGTGATCTGGAAATGCAATTTAGCCTGATTTGACTTATTTTATGAGGCTGAATCTCCTTCCACTCTACCCTCCCCCCCAAAAAAATAAATGCACATATTAGTGGACTCTGGACTAAATAAAAAGATAAGCTGATATTGAAAACAGAAAAAGGAGGTATTTCTGGATCATCTATGAGACTGCTTGTACAGTGACACACAGATATTAGTCAATGGTGGTGTAAAATCATCCTATCTCACTTAAATCTTAAACCAGTAAGAAATTAATTTAAAAGAAATGAGAAATAAATAATATACATAAATGAGATAAATATCTATTCAGTGATTACCTTGTATCCAAAACAAAGTAACAAAATGGAAAAAAATATTTCAACAGTCTATTAGAACGAGTAAATTGAACCACCTTTTCTAAATCAATGAGATACATGTAGCACTTGAGTCATTTAACATAAGGAAAAAAATCACACTATAAATTAAACTCTAAGAAATGTTATTTTGAAGTAAAAATTTTAAAAAACTATAAAAATTAAGCACTAAGAAGAATATTCAAGTGTTAAATAACCAAAAATCTGAGGAAACCACAAACCCAAGCCTATCACACACAGCCCACCTCTCTTTGTACTGGGATAGCAACTGATAAAGTTTTTCTGTTTCTCCACTTTCATACAGGTAGTCTGCTTGTTCGAGGATTTCTTCAATTCTGAAGACTATAAAAGAAAAAAGACACAATAAAGTAGGCCTTCCCAAGCCAGATGGCAATAATTCTAAGAAACATAAACATTTTCATATATAAGCAAAAGAAAGTAGATATAGAAATCACCTATAAATAAAGATCAGAAATTCTGAAGAATCTGGATGTAAGCACAGCAGAAATAAGTATAAAGCTATCACACACAGTAAATGATTTACTGAAAACATGGAAAATAACAAATTAGAAAACTTACTCTGGTACTGACTAAATATGATACATTTTAAAAAATTAAAAAATTTCCTATGAGGAATTTATGCCACATAGTCTTTGTTGTTGTTGCTGCTATTAAGTACCACCCACTGTAGAAAATGATGACATAACAGCCATTTAGAGCACTGAAAATTACTATATTTGCATAGACTGTACCACACTCTTTTACTAGATCCTTCTTATGGCCTAACTTATACAGACATCGTTGTGGAAAAAGAATCAAATCTGTCATCAAAAACTTAGACGAAGCTAATGACAAAGAGGATCTGAAACTTACCTCATTGGCACTATACTCCAACCAACTCATTAATGAGTTTAGACATTACAACAAAACCTGTAAGCCTTACAGAGAGGGTAACACTCTAAAGAAGTTGACTAGTTACTAAAAACCCAGGTCTGAATTCAGATATTCTAATTATTACCAAGGAACATACACATTTAATTTTGTCTTCTATAAAGGTGCTGTATTACTTAGTTCTATATATAAGCCAACATTCCAATGTATTCAGTTAATGTACTTTATTTGAGGTTAAAAGTATTTTTAAGTTTATGAAAAATTAAAATCTAGACCGAAAAAAAAAGCAAAAACAAAACCTCATAAATTTATGACAAAACTGTGTAAAGAAAACTATTTTTAAAGTTAAGATCATCATTGTAATTATAATAATTTAAGAAAAATTAAATGACAACAGCAAAGAAACCCGAAAATTAAGTAAAGATTTTTTCCTCTATAATCCTACTTCAATCTGGTTAGGTACTATAGTTTAATATCATTCCCTTGGCTGGTTAATTTTCTTAAGTTTGCTTCAACTCTATTCTATATTTTTATCAATGGTGGATTCTCCAAATTTGGGTTATGAAAACCCAAAGAATCTTAAAAAGAGTAAGTAGTAGCCTCAGTATTCTTAGCCGGTATTTGTGGCAGGCAGTATAATGACCACATTTTAATCCCTGGACCTGTGAAAATGTATAGATTACTAGGGCAAGGGGGGGGTAATTTTGTAGACAGAACTAAGGCTGCTAATCAGCTAACCGTAAAATAGTAAATTATCTTGGATTAGCTAGGTGTGTCCAATACAATCACAAGGGTCCTTAAAAGTGGAAGCAGGAGGCAGGAAAAAAAGTCATAGTTGGTGTGACAATGAAAACAAGGTCAGATGCAATCACTGGGGAATTGTTAGTATCATCCAGCATCTGGATGCTAAGCAAAACAGCTGGAGGGCTAAATAAACAGAGGAGTCACTCTACCCCGTTTCCTTCCAACTTCTATGAGTTGTAGTTTATTCAAAAGTTTGATATGTAATCCTGTAACTATTATCTCTTCAGTAACTTCAGAATGGTAGCTTTAAACAACGTTAAAGCGTGAGCTCTTCCTGAATTTCCCAAAGTTTTTCTATGCTCTTCTTCAAATGGGTCTCTACTTCAGGGGTCAGCTTTATCCTTAAGGTCTGCAATACCTTTTCCTCCCAGAATACAAGGAATACTAAGAAATACTTCTTATTCTGTAGAGGCCCTTACTTATGGTGGAAACTCTCCTAAGATTCTTAGAAATGCTTTCTATTCAATCAGCCAAAGATAAGCTACTGGCCCAATTAATATAACCTTTCCTTTTAACCGTTTCATAGCCATAGATAATCACTTCTTTATGGACATCTTCCTACTGCTCAGGATCTTTACCCATTTCTACATCTTGAGTTTCGATCCTTCAGAGGGACACAGCAATGTTCACTCCACTCCACACAGGTAAGTTGAGTTTCCATGCTCTCTAAGGATCCATCTATGACAGCTTTCAGAGTAGATACCATTCCTTTGCCCAATAAAGAAATGGAAACGGGTAGAGTTCAGATTACAGCCACTTCCAGTAATATGGTTTTGGGAAACACAAAGTTAAGATATCCACAGATTGGAAATAAGTATCAGTTTGCAGCCAGGACGATACTGGGTAGTATGAGAAATCACTAATTTGGAGATGGGCACACTTCACTTGACTACAGCAAGGTGTGTTTCTCTTTTTCCTGGGCGTGCACTAGGCTGGAGTCTGCAGTGACGAGGCAACCTTTGCAGGAAACAGTACTTGGCATGTCCAGTGAAAGCGCTGCCATGCTAAGCGCCACTGTCTCAGCCTCCAGTCTGCCTTCAGCACCATCCTCAAAGGCAAGTTCATCACTCAGGCCTTTTAATAAGATGCTGCCAGGCCAACCAACCCTGTTCCACTAATGGAGATCTTACTGTGATGAATGGTTTCCTCTAAATTGGAATTCGTAAGAAGTTCATACTTAACCGTTGCCATCTTGGAAACAAGAGTGAAGGGCCAGCCATCCCTGAATGGGATGTGTGAGAGTGGCTGGGAGACAGCCATCTCTGGGCAAAGGAGATTTGCTCCTTCAGTGCCTACTCCCTGGCTGCTCTGCAGGACTCCTGTTATTCATGACCACTCTCTCAAGGGGTGAAAGAGAGAAATGGAGGAAAGCCACACCAAAGTTCCTTCAGGTGCAAAGTAAGGAAACAACTCCCTTACCTCTGCTATAGTGACTGTGCAAGGTCACGCCCCAGATCATGCAGGCCTCACAGGGGCCTAGCACCTTAAAATCTTTTTTAATTTACTAAATATGCAGTAATTTTTTGTCATTAGGACACTTAAAAAACAGACTATGATCACTTAGGCTATAAATAATTTTGGCTTTGCCTTTCAAAGTGCCATATTGTGTTGCTTAGGGAAACATTACATTTTTATACTCATTTCTGTAATGAAATGGTGCTAAAAGACACTGAAACTATGATTGACTCGAAAAGAAACAGATAAGAGTTCCAATCTCTGCTCTGGTACTTTCAGTTTGAAGAAGTTTCACTATGTGAGCTTCCTTTCAAAAATTAATAGAATGGAACAGACAGAAAAATCTTAAAACTGCAACCATTGGGCACATCACTCAAGGGATGTTTTAAAAAAAAATTAACATTGTACTGTGAAAAATATGGCTTGTCCTAACTATTTTAAAAGATTGCTGTGAGAGTTGGAAGCTATAGTGAAAAGTGTAGGAAGTTTTAAAAAGCTGAGCTGTTATAAATATTTGCCAAAATATGTCATTGAATCAGTCACAAACCCAAGTCCTCTACTTTGTCCTTCATGAAAATGATGTTAAAAAAAGAAAAGGTAAAACAAAAACATAATAATTCAAATATCTGCTTTCATTAAATATAAGAATCACAAATAAATGAAATCAATTAATAACTAGTAATTTTTAGCCAATATTCTCAAAATCTTCATCTACCAGAACGTTAATAAGAATATCTATTCAAAATCAAATCTCTGCTTCTTTCTCCAGTCACCTTCTTGATGGTTAAAAAATGAGGACTGTGAAAAACACAAAGGCTTATTATATTAACCTATAAATTAAAAGAGTTTTTGACACGACATTGTAAAATGACTATAACTCAATAAAAAAATGTTAGAAAAGTTTTTTCTCTAATAGACAGAAATTTTGGCTCTATCCACGGATACAACTGGTTTAACTAAATTTAATTTTTAAAATATGGCAAGTCTTAACACATGTTTATATATTTACAGGCATGCCAAATAAAAAATTTGATGGAATTTTTCTATTTTTCAACCAGTTATTTGATATTCAGAACCAAACTGCATTCTATTTATAAATAAAATATTTCTATCTCAGAGTAACTGGGCCTTTCTTAACTACATCAAGAAGAGTATAACACCTTGTTGTAGAAACAAAAGAATTGTTGCACCTTTATAAATGATTGGCAAACTTCTTCTATAAAAATCCAGAGAGTACATATTGTAGGCTTTGTGGGCCAGATAGGGTCTCTAGTATATTCGTTTTTTTCTCCCACAACCCCTCAACCCTTTAAAAAAATCCTTAGCTCAAGGGGCCTATAAAACTATAAAGTATTAATGGAGTATTTCTCACTGAAGGAGCTCTACCTGCTAGAAAGCATTATATATACATATATACAGACACACACACATATATACATACATACATATCCCAGATGACAAGCAGAGAAAAGCAGAAAATAATCTAGCCTATAACATGTTAGTTTCATTATCTATTCAAAACTAACTAAATTATTAACAAAATATAACAAACTAAAATAACTCTAAGTGTTCCTGGCGTTTAGCTTAGGCTTACCTTTGGCTGTGGCGTGAACCACAGCAGCTTGGGAAATGACTTGATAAGTTTCAAAACCCAAATAAGACAAGGCTGAGAATAAAAGACTTCTTTTGAAGGCTCCTGGGTTTCCCATCACCTGTGGAAAGAATTATGGTCGGAGTTATCAAACTTAGAAAATCTGCGGGAGCTGCTATCTCAAGTAAAAATTACATCAATTTTCTCCTACCTCCAAAGCCATCCCCAGTACCTCCATTAAAATAATAATAATAATAATAATAAATAAATATATTAAGAACTCATACAACTCAATAGCAAAAAAAATCAAAAACTGGGCAGAGGACCTGAAGACATTTTTCCAAAGAAAACATACAGATGGTCAAGAGGTACAAGAAAAAGTGCTCAACATCACTAATCACCTGGGAAATGGAAATCAAAATCACAATGAAATCTCACTTCACACCTGTTAGAGTGGCTGTTATCAAAAAGATAAGATATAACCAGTGTTGGAGAGGTTGTGAGAAAAGGGAACTCTTGTTAATGGAAATGTAAACTGGTGCAGCCACTATGGGAAACAGTATGGGGGTTCCTCCAAAAATTAAAAATAGAACTTTACTATGATCCACCAATTCCACTTCTGGGTATTTATCTAAAGGAAACAAGACCAGTAACTCAGAAAGATATCTGCACCCTTATGTTCACTGCAGCATTATTTACAATAGCCAAGACATGGAAACAATCTAAGTATCCATCAACCAATAAACAACAACAACAAAAATGTGAATATATATATGTATTTCTATATCTATAGATATGCATATATATACATACACATACACACACAATGGAGTGTTAGTCAGCCATTGGGAAAAAAAGAAACCTTGCCATTTGTGACAATATGGACCTTGAGGGTATTATGCTAAGGGAAATAAGTGAGACAGAAAAAGACAAATACAGTATAGTCTACCTTATATATGGAATCTTAAAAAAAATAAAAATCCAAAGTCAAAGACAAGAGTTTAGTCGTTGCCAGGGGCAGGGGAGGAGCGGGGGAAGGAGTGTGGCAAAGAGCTGAGTGAAATGAGTGAAGCTGGTCAAAAAGTACAAACTTGCAGTGGTAAAGAAACACATCTTGGGGATATAACGTACACCATGGTGACTGCAAGACTGTATTGTATTTGAAAGATGCTGAGACAGTAAATCTTAAAAGTTCTCACCACCAGAAAAATAATTAATTTGTAACTGTATAGAGATGGATGTTAACTAGACTTACTGTGGTGATTATTTCACAATATATACAAATACTGAATCATTGTACACCTGAAACTAGTATGTTAAAGGTCTACATCTCTCAATTTAAAAATAAAGAAAATAAAATAAAATGCCCCCCAATGATCCCTGCTTTCTGATATTCACTCCCTTTTGTAGTCCCCTTGCCTTAAATGTTGGCTGAACTTAACTGCCTCCCTTGTAAGAAACAGAATACGCAGAGGTAAAGGGATGTTACTTCCAAGATGTGATTATAGAAAAATTGTGTGTCTTCCTTCTTTGACACTGACTCTCTTGTGTGTTCCTTCCGATTGCAGGTCTGCCTTGGGGGAATCTAGCTGTTGTGTCTTGAGGCAGCTCTGAGGAGAAGCCCTCCTGGTGAGTAACAAGGCCTGCTCACAGGCACATGAGTGAGCTTGGAAGCAGAACTTACCCTCTACCCCCAAACTCAGGGTTCTCATGAGACCTTAGCAACTAAACAGCTTGGTTCAACTTTAGGAGAGATCTTCAGCTAGAGGCAACCAGATAAACCTCACCTGGATACCTAATCAACAGAAACCATGATATAATAAAAGGTTGCTGCTTTAAGACCTTATGTATTGTGACAATGTTACACAATAACAGATAACTAATAAACTAGCACATGCCTGACTTTTCAGCCTTGCTTTATTTCAGTCTACTCTCCCACTCCAGGATTCCGTCACACTTTTAGTTCCCCCAAAATGCCACTTTTTCTTACTCAAGGCCTGTATCATGCTACTTTCTTTACTGGCATATTCTTTTGTCCTCATCTTTCCTTTACCAATTCCTAATCATTCTTTTTTTTTTTTGAGGTATAGTCAGTTTACAATGTTGCATCAATTTCTGGTGTACAGCACAATGCTTCCATCATACATGAATATACATGTATTCATTTTCATATTCTTTTCCACCATAAGCTACTACGAGATATTGAATGTATTTCCCTGTGCTGTACAGTATGGAAACGAGGCTAACTAGTTTCGTACTGAGTACTCCTCCCCACCCCTCTGCTTATATCATTTAACATCAACCCATCTGGCTATAAATTCTTCCTAGGAAAGGGATCAAGCCTTACTGTCTTTCATCCCTCCCTCTTCTCCCCGCCGCCCCCCATAATTCTGAACATAGCAAGCAGTCAAAGTATTTTAGAATTTAAAATAGTGAAACACCCAGTTCAGATGATATATATGATCACCCTCACCCTTCAATACCCTTTCAGAGGTAAACAAACCAAGGCCCACAAAACAGTCTAATAGAAACATCAACGCTGGGATGACCATCCAACATCCTGACAGCCTCCCTTAACATTATGCAGATAAAACATGAAACTCAAAAGTAATTTTTTTAAAACCCAGATAAGTGCAAAACCAATGTCTCTGAGTCACAGGAATTCAAAGGTACACCACAAACTTTTCAGTCTAGTAGACTGATAACCTCAGGTGCTGTTGCGGAATCTGGCATTACTGAAAGTGAAAATGACCCCATAGCGGCCTAGGTCTTCTCCCCTCCCCCCCGAATTTACACAGGAAAGACGGGCGGGAGACAGGCTCTCGGGGGAGATGGGAAGGGAAGGGGAAGGGTCTCTCTCCGCGTCCTCCGACCCCAGTTTTCAGAGAGGGAAGGAGGCTTGCGAAAGAGAGAGGACTTGGCCGCCGGGGTCGCCGGCAGCGCTCCAGGCGCAACGGGCCTAGTTCCTTCCTCAGGTCACCACATACCCCAAGGTGGTGCGGGGCCACCAAGCCTGAAGGAGCACGGGGCCGCCGGAGCCCAGCCGGCAGGGGAGGGACGCGGGCGCGAGGACGGCGCGGGTACCTCAGAGCCGCGGAGTCGCCAAGGAACGCACCGCCCGCGGTTGCCGACAGCACAGCTGTGGAGCCGAGGTGCCGGGGCGGAGCTACGTCCCAAAGGGAGAAAGCGCCCGAGCCGCACGGCTACAGCCATGACCTACAACTCGCAGGCGTGACCCTTCACCCGCTTTGGGCTGCTAGGGAGCGGGGCGGAGCAAAAGGCGCCCGACCCCTTCCGAAGAAAGCCGCATCCACCCGCTTGCTGGCGGGCGCCTCTTCCGCTCCGCAGCTTCCGGTCCGCGAGTTCTGGGGGCCGGAAATAGCCCGCTCGGGCGGGACTTAGAAGCCTTTCCGCGCCTGCGCAGAGCAGACTGCGGCAGTAAGCGCGCCGCTGGTCGCTGACTCCCTTCTGCGTCTCCTCGCTGGGGCTGGGGGTTTGTCCTGGTGTGGGCGCGAGGACAGATCACCAGAACAGAATGGAAAGCTCGGAAACAGACCCGAGAATTCACATATGCAAGAAAATAATGATTTGTTATTTATAATTCTCTGCTACCTTCAAAGGTAGGGAGAATCCTGATACTGGCAGATCCTTTTTGGAAAAAAATGCTTGCAAGAATTAAAAACTGTTGCACTTAAAGAAGGGGATGAAGAGATTAAAAGGGTGAGAGGCAGTTTCTTGGGGAGAAGAGAGAAGCCAGAGATGAACAAAGAATTCAAAGTCCACGCTGGTCTAGTCAGGAACGAGTAGGGAGAGGAGGCCTCTTGACCGTGTGTGCAATGGGATGTGTGCTATAAAACCCCTGGCTTCCTCTCCAAATATGTAGTAAGGGCGATACTGCTTGTCACCGAACTGGAACCCTTTTGGAGGGAATGAAGAGGTTTTGAACCTACTTAAGAGTTGATGTGGATGAAGACACAAGCTGCCAATGGAATACCTACTATACGGACTATATGTAAAATTTTTATGGGCAATAAGGAAGGTAGACATAGTTTTGAAAACGTAGGTTGCACTTATACTTTTAATACTACGTGGTGAATTAACACACTTTTATTTTATTTGATCTTCTCAGCTACCTTGTGAAGTAACTGATAATCCCAAGTTAATGAACAGGTGAAATTGTAGCTCAAAGAGATTTATTAACCAAGGGCACAGAGTTAGTAGGTGTTGTTAGAAGACTAGAATCCATGTCTCCTAACTCTAGGTCCAGTGCGTCTTCTATATGATTGCTGCTTCCACCACTTCCCATTAAGTCAGCCGCATTTCTTCAGGATTACATCAGTAATATCTCAATTTTCTTTGTTTTTAAAGCACATTTAAAAAAAATATATAGAGCCTCTTCCCAACTTTTTCTGAACCCTGGCCTTTTTAACCAGGCTTTTTGCTTTTCCACTTTTTTTTTAAAAAAGTATCTATATACTTTTAGATATTTCTACTGGAGCTATCTCAATATTGCTAAATATTTATACCACTGGATGCCATGATAATCCTGAAATTAAGTTTCTGATATTTCAGTCAGACTGAAATTTTAATTAAATTTTTCATCTTGAAAAATTTTTTGATCCTGAGAAAAGTTGCAGGAAATCCCATATGTTTTTCACCTAGATTCATCCATTATCAACATTTTGTCACATTTGCTTTATCTTTCTTTACATATATTATATGTTATATTTCTATTATTATTTTCTGTTGTTGAATCTTTTCAGAGTGGATTACAGATATTATGACTCTTCATGCCTAGAAACGAGGATGTTCCTTATTTAGTCCCAATACAATGATCAACTTCAGGAAATTGAAATCGACAGAATATGCTTATTTAGTATACAAATTTTGCTTATTGTCACAGTGCTGTGCTTTATTTCAACTGTTTTTTCTCCAACTCGGTTCAAATTCTAATTATATATTGCATTTAGTCATCATGTCTCTTTAGTCTCTTTAAGTCCATAATACTTGTCTCTCGGCTCCAGGCACAGTACCTTTTCTTTCCTCCAATGAGCCTCTCAGACGTCCCTACATGGTAGGATTCATTCCTATTTCACCACCTTGGCAGCCTTCCCCTTCCCCTACTCCACTCCACAATTCCTTACCTGCTTAATTCCTGTTTATCTTTCAACTCTCAGCCCAAATATCACTTCCTTGGAGAAACTTTTCTTGATTCTCCCAAATACACTTTCAATTCCTTTATGGCTCTAAATGCATTTTGTAATTTCATGTTTATATTTGTTATTATTTGTCAATCCTAAGTATATTTTGGAGGTAAAGTTGATAAGAATTAGTAATGACTGCCTTTGCTATACTGTAAACTGAATAGCATATCTGATTTCTGCCTATAACAGGGCCTGACACAGTTTCTTCATTTATTAAACAAAGATTTATTGCGTATCTGTAACATGCCTCATGCTCTTCTAGATGTAAATGAGTAATTCTTAGTGGAGTGTATATTCCAGTTGAGGAAAGATAGCAAGCAAGATATATGATGTGATAGATGATGATAGATGCTGAAAGGGAGATAAAGCAGGAAGGGGCGTAGAGTGTATTTCTGTGCAGGCATTGCAGTTTTAAATAGGGTGGTGGCCACAGAAGAACTCACTGAGGGAGAGTTAGAATAGAATAGAATTAGACCCAAGGAAGAGGAAATGAGCCATGAAGCTACCCAGGAGCCTAGCATCCAGGCGATATATAGCATATACATCTGGGGACCTGACATGTAAACAGAACTGAAAGTGCAAAGGCCTGAACTGGGAAGGCAAGTGGCATCTTCCATGAACATAAGTCCACTCTACATGGATGAGCATGGAGGAGATTATTAAGAGATAAAATCAGAGAGGAGATGGAGACCAAGGAATATAGGACCTTATAGGCAATTATAAGGGCTTTGATTTTTTTATTTAATTGTGTATTTTTTTGGTATAATTGTGTGTGACATAGTCTAATTTACATTTTAATTAAATCCTTTTGACTCTTGAAAATAGAAAGAGAGCAAGTAATGAAGGATGATATAATAACCTAGAAAGAAACAGTGGTGACTTGAACTTGGCTGGAAAATATGGGTCATCAGAATCTGGATGTATTTTGAAGTAGAGCTGCCAGGAGTAGCTGACAGACAGACCAGATGGGATGGGATATGAGAGAGGAAAAATGTCTGTAAGTGTTTTGGCCCAAACAGCTGGAAGGAAGCTTTGCTGTTACTTGAGATAGAGGAGACCATGGGAGATACAGATTTGGGGAGGGAGATCAGGAGGGTGAATTGGTACATTTAGATTTGAAATGCTTATTAGACAGACATCTGTGGTGGCTAGTTTTCGAGATGGCTCCCCATGATTCTTAATTCTTGGATTTACTCCTACTGTTAGATACAGGCTGGTCTGTTTGACCAATAGAATGCTGCCAAGGTGGTGGTGTATGACTCTTGAAGCTAAATTATAAAACTCATTGAGCTTCTGCCTTGAACTCTTGGATTTTGTGCCCTAGGGGAAGCCAGCAGCCATGCCATTAGGTTGCTCAAGCAACCCTATTAAAAGGTGCAAATGGAGAGGAACTGAGGTCTCCTACCAACAAAGAGCATCACTGTTGCGTGTGAGTAAGCCCCCTTGGAAGTGGACCCTCCAGCCTGTAAGATGACCAACCCTCATAATACCTGACTGCAACTCTCATGAGAGGCATTGAGACAGAATCACCCAACTAAGTCACTCTGAAATTCCTGAAGCTATGTAATAAATGACTACTTAGTTGTAAGCCACTAAATTTGGTATGATGTGTTATGGAGCAGAAGTTAACGAATACAACATCTGATTATAGAGTAGGGAGTTGGAATCTAGAGTTTCAAGGTTTACAAGTTTAGTAGCCTTCAGAATATAGATGGATTTCAAAGCTGTAAGACTAGATGAGGTAACTAATGGTGTGGATGAAGATACAAAAAAGAAAAGTGAAGAACTAAACCCTGGGGGCACTCCAGTATGAGATCTAGGAATATGAGGCTCAAACAGTTTCAGAGATTAGAAAGAACAGCCAGTGAGGTAGAAGAACAGCAGAGTAGTTTATGAATATCTCATTCATTTCAACATCCATTATTCATTTATTTATTTATTCTTTTTTTTTAATGGAGGTACATGGGGATCAAACCTAGGACCTCGTGCATGCTAAGCATGCACCTTACCACTTGAGCTATACCCTCCTCCCTGGTTTATTTGTTTATTCATTTATTTATTTATTCTTTTTTGGATTTTAACATCTATTAAAATCTCCACCAGCCGTTGGGTTCCATACTTATTTTTTCTTTACTTTTTGAAACTTATTATACCTGATAGATAATCTGCTCTCAATACATGTTGAATACATGGGTGAATAAATAAGAACAACAGTGGAATGGAATTTAGACCATGTTTAAGGAGCATTAAGTACCTTGACAAGCTGTGGCACTATATATTTAAATGAGAGGTTGTTTATTGGGTAATAAAAAGACCGTTTCATTGTCTCTACTCCTTATGTTATAAAAGGTCATGAAAGTTGGGTATTGACGCTGCGTATTCTGGAACATTCGAAACTTGCAGCTAAATTAGTGATGCCTGAGGACCTTCGCTTTAATGTAAAAGCAGAATCAAAAACAAAACAATAAGGTTGTTTTTACCAACCTTTAGTAAAGACAAAACAAAACACTTCTCTTTCCTCCCCCACTCTGCTCTGACCACAAAAGCCTTATTTCTGTCCCTGCGATTTGCTAGGTCTGTTCTTACCTTTGTCCCTCCTATCATTCCTCTGCCCTCAGATCTTTTGCATGACTGGCTCTTTCTTATTTTTCAGGTCTCACATAAAGTATCCCTACCTTAGAGAGACCTTCTCTGTCTGAATGGGTTCCTGTCTTCCCCAAGGCCCTTTCTGTCCCTTTAGCCTGTATTGCTTTCCTTGTTGAATTGTTGAACAATAATCAATAGCAAGGCTACAGTGAACGAAGAGCTTTATTTGAGGACGTGAAACTTGCAATTTGGAAGATATAGATTTGAGGAAAACCATAAGAATGTTTCTGGGAAGAGAGAGTCAGAGGCTTAAAAGGTAGAAATCACAAGGTGGTTAAAGTTGTCTGTCGAGAATTATGGATGACTCTGATGCAGAAAAGGAGATATTTTTCCTTAAGCGCTAGGCTGTCACAAGTTATTTTAGAGCAAGAGTCTGATCAGTATCTTGAGTTTCTGGAACACTGGGCCGGTGTTAACAGTCCATCTGGTATGAGATGTGTTCCTGGATGGGCTCCTGGCTGCATTTTAGAGAACTCTCTTAGCAATACCGACTCCATTTTGATTTTCCTTTCACTGAACTTACGGCTATCTGAATTTTTTTTAATTGAGGTAAAGTCAGTTTACAATGTTGTATTAATTTCCTGTGTACGGCATAGTAATTATCTGAAATCATTTAAGTTCATTTTTAATAACTTATTATTTGTTCTCCCTCTGGGATAGAAACTTCTCTCTGTCACTAGTTTATCACCAGTCTCTGTATAGAGCAGTGCTTGGCGCATAACAGACCCTCAGGAGGTGTTGAATAAGTACATGAATGAATCCTCACTTATACAATTATTTTAAAGTGTTTAGTTTGCATTTTTTGATTAAAAGTTTTACTTCGAAAAGTCTATATTTTTCGTTTGTTTCATTTTTCCATTCTGTAATTAAAAAAACATTCTTAGCCAATTTTCTATTTTTAAAAATCAGATTTTTAAGATATTAACTAACCCTTTATTTGAATATCAGGTTTGTGGCAAATATTCTTCTCAATGTGTTTGCCTATTGATTTTTTTTTCTGTTTTTTCTTGGGCATAAGTTCTAAATTTCAAACAATCAAATGCAGCAATGTTTTTCATAGCAGTTTGTTGAATCACAAGCAGCATTGTCTCAGTCATGCGGGCACTTTGTTTACTAGAGTTTGTGACTTTGGGCAAGTAGCCAAGTACTTAGCTGTCAAATCAAATTAATCGAATTTTCCTCTTTTACAAAATGGGGATAATGGCACTAAATACGTCACAAAGTTTTGAGAATGAAATGCAGTTAAGACTATCAAAAGACTCTGGTAGTGTGCACACTGAAAGCGCTCTAAATAAAAATGGTTAGGAGTTAGCATTTCAGTACTCTCATGCTGATGCTGATTCTTTCACGGTTCAGAGAGCAGCATAAATTTTCTGAAATATAAATTATTTTATCCCCAGAAACTTATTTTGGTGCCCCCAAAACAACTTATTCCAATGCGTGAAGTCAGTTTGGGGTTTTCGGTAAGCAAGTGAGCTCTGCTAGGGAGCCTGCACAGGTAAGGAACGGATCAGCGTGGAGAGCTCCCAGCAGGCT